TGCAGCTCCGCTTGGGGAGAAAGGGACAGACACTAAGCTCGGAGAGCCTGGCCTCAGAGGAAGCTAAAAGACCTCCTAGTCGGTAGTCGGGGATTCCTACCCCGGAAACGGGATTGAGGGGCTTGAATCCTAGCGAGGGTGCAGGGGGAGGCGTGGGACGTCTCCGGAGAGCTAGGAGGAGGGGGGCAGATTCCAAACTCCCCACCCCAACCCCAAGGAGCCCTGGTTCATCTTGTCCGAGACTCCTCCCTCGTTCTGACCCTCCCTCTACCACCACCCCCCGCTCCGCTTTCTGCCGCCCCCGTCACTCCCCTTCTCGTATCCCCAGGGCGCTCCCACCCTGGGGAAGAATGTGCCCTCCTAGCGCACCCTTGCCATGGTAACGGCACACCCCCACCCCCGCGCACCGCAGCGGCCGGGCCTGGCCCGCAGGGCGGCGAGAAAAGGGGGAGTGGGCGCCTCCCGGCCGGGTGGACGCACCTCGACTGCCCTGGTTGCCACAGTAACCGGGGGCGTTTCGAAGTGCGCAGCCGCAAAGTGGCACCGGGCACTCCTCTTGATCCTTCACCCCTCTAATCCACCGGCAGAGGACCCCGGCTCCTAGGAGAGACTGCAGCCCACCCTCCTCCACCCCCGCGCAACTTCAAGGACAAAGGCCAGAGAGGGATCATGGGGCGTTCCAGCTTCCACGCACCGCAAGCCTAGGGGACAAAGGCGGCCGGAGGACCCAGAGAGTCTGAAACCTGAAAAGGGATCCCCCTGTCCCCAGCCCGCCCCCCTCCCCCAGCAGAGCCTGAGGGGGGCGCTGGCAGCAGGAAGCCGGGAAGGGCCCCGGAGGCTCACAGGCCCCACAGTGGAGCGGTGATTACAGGGACCTGTCCCTCCCGCCCCCGGCTCCCACTCTCATTAAGTCATTTTTTCCCCTGTTGGAAAGTCCCCGTGCCTTGAGCGCAGGGGTTGGGGCGACCGCAGGCAGCTGCCGGCAACCACATGAGAAGGGGGGGGAGGAGGGGAGGAGGGGGCCGCGACTAGGGCCTGGACAAACTCCAACGTGGAAGGCCCCCTGCCGGGGGCTAGCTGGGGGCACGTTAATTTGGGAAGAGGAGCGCCTGGATGCCGCTGACCTGGCTTCTCACTCACCGAGGTCCTCCTCCAGCTGCCAGGGCCCTTACCTTTGCCTCTCTCCTCTTTTTTCAGCCCTGCGACCTTGGGTGACTGACAAGCAGGATGCCTGGGTTCCGATCCCCACCCCAGTCTGGCCGCCTCTCCCTGACCCTTAGCCCTACCGCTGCCTGCTGATGTGTCCACCACCCTCATTCTCTGTTAGTTCTCTCCCTCCCTCCCGTCGGGGCCATCCAGGCTCTATGAGACCATACTATTTTTTCCTTCTGCAAGGAAGTGACCCAGGGTCCATCAAGGTGAAAGGTGTTGAGGACTAGGACTGTTCCCTCCCCCTCTGATCTATGTCTTACCATGTTCTTATTCCCAAATTGCAACCCTGGCCCTCCCCAAGCAACTTGGCAAGTTCTTCCTCCCATCTACCACCACCACCCCCTATTTCCAATCAGCACATTGATTCCTGCCACACCCTTCAGCCAGTATGCCTAAGCCCGGTGCCCCTTGGCCTTATTTTCCTGCCCTTCATCACCTCCACATGTCCCTTTAGGGCCCTTGCCAAATCCCACATTTTCCCCTTTTCAATTGTGGGGTCCAGCTTTGATCCTCAGACTCTAGTCAGCTTCCAGCCCAGAGAGAGGATGTGGATCGGGCAACACCTTGTTTGTTCCTTTCCCAACTTTCCCTCTCTTCCTTTATAGGTCAGGCCAGCATATATCAGCTCACCAGGATTTGACTGGAACATGTCCCTCCCCCACAACGTGGTGTCCAGCCCCTGCCCCACCCCACCACCCACCCCTCCCTCTGAAGACAGCATGCTCTGCAGTAGTCCTGCTCCTACCTCGTTATCCCAACCCTGATCCTATATCTCTCCTCTTCAGCCTCTCCTCCCCCAGCTCTGTCTTCCTTCAGCCTGGAAGGCACAGGAGGGTGACACCAAAGCTAATGCTGTAGTGGACACTGCTGGGGTGGGAGTGCCCCCCCAAGGCCTTCATTTATCTCCCCCCCCCATACACACACCTCTTCTCTCCTCCTCCCTGGGTCGGGAGGGAGCAAGGGGGCGGGGAACCCAGCCCCCACAGCCCTCTCCTGGGTGAACAAGAGGAAAGGAATGAGGCAGGTGTGTCTGACTGTTCCTGCTTACCCCTCCTCCCCGGGGGACTCTCACCCGCCTGCCTGTGGGGCTGTCTTTTGGGGGTTGGGGAGAGAAACCCTGTCCTCCACAGAAGCAGCCGAGCTGAGCATGTGGATGGCCCTGCTGTCTTAGGCATGTCCAGGAGCTGCTGGGAGGCAGGCAGCTGGAGGGAAGGAAGCTGAAGGCAAGCTAGTGGGGGCAAATCTCCCAACTGGTGGGCCTACAGGGGGTACATCATCATGAGAGCCGCCTTTCCTTCTCACCCCTACCCAGAGGGCTAGGGAAATATGGGGATTTGTGTAGGCTGGCAACTGGGAAAAGGAACAAGACTCCATCCACATCTGGTTCATCGAGAAGGATGCCATTCTGGGTAAACTGAGGTAGGCAGCTGGATCCTCAAGTGTGAGCAGCAGGAGGTCTGGAGAAAGTAGGTGAGGTGTTCCTTCTCTGAGATCCTGACCCTACCTCCATCTCCACCACCCTCCTTGAGGGTCTATTCCAGAAAAATATCTGATCTGAAAGCCAAGCGGAGTGCAACACTGGACCCAGACTGCCAGCCAGCAGTGTTCTAAGGGGGGTAGGAAGAAGGAGGCTTGCTGACCTGCCGAAGGGCACCCTGAGCTGGGGATCTGGGGACAGGAGAGGCGTAGGAAAGATGTCACTCCACCTCTGGCCTTACCTACATACCTACCTCCCCTGCATGGACTCAGAGAGACCAGAATCCAGACAGTGAGTCTCCTGGCCCTCCCCCACCGCCCTCCTCTTGGCCGCACCTCCTAGCCCCACCTGCTCCCCGGGGCGCTGGGCTGGCTGGGTTGAGCTGGGTCTTGCCCAGGATTACTCCTCTCAGAGTGCCTGTCTCTGCCGAAGGGTGCTGCTGGGCACCGCCACCCGTCCTGGCTTGTGGCCGAAGGCTCAGGCACGAGGTGGACAGCGAGAGCTCTGGCATCAAGAGCTCCTGATCCAGCTTCTTGTCAACATCCCCAAGGCCTCCGTCCAGTCAGGCCCTGTCTCTGGTTCGGAAGTTGGCTGTAATTTCTTAACTGGCCCCCTGCTGTCAATTTGTCTCCTCTTCATTCAGTTCCCTGTACAGCAATCCATGTGGAAATCAGACCATGACACTCACCTGCTTAAGACTCTCTGAAGTTTCTCATTCGTCTTAAAAACCCCAACTCCTTACATTGGCCCCAAGGGACATGTGGTATGACTCTTGCCTGCCCTCTGAGCTCCTCTCCTGCTAACCTGCTCTTTGATTCCTACACTCCAATCACACTGGCCTCTTTGCTGCCCCTCCTGAGGACATCTTTCTCACCACTGAGCTTTTGCATTTGCATGGTCTCTGCCTGGAAAGCCCTTACCCTCAATCTGTGCACAGCTGTCCCCACTGTACCAGTCTCAATATGAGGAACACAACTCAGAGAGGCCTTCCCAGACCAATGGCTTTATCTAAAGGGGCCACACTCCTACCTACGGGTCTATCAATAAATGAATGGATAAAAAAAGCTGTGGGCTGTGTGTGTGTATACGCACATACACATATACATGCACACTATGGAATACTATGCAGCCGTAACAAAAGATGAGATCTTGCCATTTGCAACTACATGGATGGACCTCGAGGGGATTACATGAAGTGAAATAAGTCAGGCTGGGAAAGACAAATACCAGAGGAGTTCGCTCATATGTGGAATCTAAAAAAATGAAACAAATGAATAAACAAACAAAAAGCAGAATCGTAACTATAAATACAGAGAACAAGCTGATGGTTCCCTGAGGGGGTATGGGGATAGACAAATGGGTGAAGGGGAGTGGGAGATACAGGCTTCCAGTTACAGAATGAATTAGTCACAGGAATACAAGGCACAGCATAGGGAATAGAATCCCTGGTGTTGTAATAGCATCCTATGGTGACAGATGGTAGCTACACTTGTGAACAGAGCATAACGTATAGACTTGTCCCATCACTATGTTGTACACCTGCAACTAATGTACATTGTGTGTCAACTGTACTCAAAAAGTTTTTTTTAATGCAAACAAAACATAAAGGGGCCCCACTCCCCACAAATCACTCTACATCCAGCACCGAGCTTTATTTTCTTCATGGCACAGAGCATTGTCTGAGATGAGCTTGTTGGTGTATTTACTTGTTTATTGTCCATCTCCCCCAACCAGAATGTAAACTCCAAGAGGGCAGGTGCTGTGTCTCTCTTATTCACATCTGTATCCCCAGCACCCCACATCCCCTGCAGAGTGCCAGGCCACAAAGAGTGCAAAATAAATATTTGTTAAATGAATGATGAGGGGCAGAGGCCCTTGGGGGAGGGCAGCTGAGGCCTCTACAGAATCCCTTCAGCTCAATTATGTCCATTTCTTCTTTTCTAATCATCCTCCCCCCTGCCCTTCGGCTTCCATTCATTCTCTCTCCAGGGCAGAGGTGAAGGCAGGAAAGGGGAGAGGCCCAGAGGCTGCCTGGCTGACACTTGCCCGCCCTCGCCCTCAGGTGTGGGGCACTCCCCAGCCCAGCTGAACTGTCCGAGGCAGGGACAAGGAGCCGGGAGGCGAATGGGTCCTTGGAACCCACCGAAGTGGGGGGGGGGGGGGTAGTCCAGGCAGGACTGGCCCGTCCCCTGATTGCAGATCTGACCCTCGGAGCCGGGAGGTTCCTATCGGATCAGATGGTCCGAGCTCCTGTCCCAGGAGCCTAGGCGTCGCGGCCGGGGGGCCAGGCTCCGGGAGGGGCGCCTTCGGCTCACTTGCAGACGCTGACCCACTCGGTGATGCGGCACTCCTCGCAGACGACGAAGCAGCACCAGTGGAAGCGGCAGTGGCAGCGCTCGCTGCGCGTCTGCCGCAGGATGTTGTGGCCGCGGCCGCAGCACATGCTGCCGCAGCCGTCGGGGCCGGCGCTGCTCTTGTTGCACAGGCGGCCCACGGTGCCCGCCGAGTCCAGGCGCGGCTCGCGCTCGCAGAAGTCGGGCGACTTCTCGAAGTAGACCAGGTCAGCGGGGCTGGCGCGGCGCCGCGGCCCCGGCACGCCCGGGGCGGGCGAGGGGGCCCCCGCGGGGCCAGGTTCCAGCTGGCCGCCGTTGCGGTTGTGCGGCCGGATGAGCGTGGCGCGGTGGAAGCGGCTGCGCAGCAGCGCCCCCACGGCGCGGAACTCCGGCGTCACCTGCCAGCACGTCTTGAGCTGGCAGCTGCCTGACGTGCCGTGGCACTTGCACTTCCGCCGCATGTTCTCCATCACCGCCTGCAGAGGGAGGCACGGCGAGGGGTGACGCCTGCGGCCAGCCCCACGGCCCTCCTCCCAGCGCAGACACTGGCCTTCGAGTATCTCGGAGACTTCTGAAACCGACTCCCATGGAACAGAGGCAAAAGCCGAGGCTCGAAGCGG